TGAACTAAGAGTCTTAAACCTGTCAGGATGTCTAAGATAAAAAACACTGATGACAGTTTATGTTGGAGAGGATGTGGAATAAGGGGAACACTCCTCCACTGCTACTGGGATTGTAAAACGATTCAACCACTTTGGAAATCAATATGGTGGTTTCTCAGAAAAATGGGAATCAATATACCTCAAGACCCAGCAAAGCAATAAGAATATTTTCAGCAGGTAATGGGGATGAATACCATATGAGAAGAGCAATTTTTATGTCAGATGACATTATCTGTATAATGAAAGCAAATATATATGAATATCAAGAATGGAAACTGGGATAAAATGGCTAAGGAAAGAATCATGCTTTGTGTTTGATAGTCTAATAAAGACTCATGTTATATCTTTATCCTTTTTTTTTGTTTTTTTTTCGAGACAGGGTTTCTCTGTATTGTCTTGGAGGCTGTCCTGGAACTCGCTTTGTAGACCTCGAACTCACAGACATCCACCTGCCTCTGCCTCCTGAGTGCTGGGATTAAAGGCGTGTGCCACCAACGCCTGGCAATCTTTATCCTTTTTAAGAAGAGAAATTTCTTTTGTGACCTTGGGTGCCCTTGTATTTGGGCATAGATGTTAATAATTGCAACATCCTCTTGGTGGACTTTCCTTTGATGAGTATGTAGTATCCTTCCTTGTCCCTTCTGATTAGTTTGGGTTTGAGGTCTACGTCGTCAGATACTAAAAGAGCTACAGTTTCTTTACTCTTAGGCCCATTTGCTTGGAATATATTTTTCCATCCTCTCATCCAGAGGTGATGTCTATCACTGATGCTAAGCTATATTTTTTAATGTAGCAAGATGTACTATTTTCTAATATCTGTTTTTGGTCCTATTCCGGTATATTTTTGTTTTATCTTATTAATTATTATCCCTTAGATGCTTCTTTATCCTCTAATAAGAGACAAAAAGGGAGTAGATCCAGATGGGAGAGGAGGTGGGGAGGAACTGGGAAGAGGAGAGCTAGGGGAGATGGTAACAAGATATATGGGGTAAAACAAAATATGTTTTCAATAACAGAAAAATAACCCTGTGCTTAGCATCAAGGGAACTTGGGGAAACATATAGGATCATAAGCCAAACTACTCAACACAGTAGTAGTAGGAGTTTGTCTTATATTGAAAGAGAAAGAAAACAGTCAGCAGGCAAAACTGCTACTCAAAATCTTAGCTTTGATAATATAAGATCTGTACAAAGGAGGAGTGTTGTGTCAACTTTGACTTGAGACCCTCAACTACATAAGAGTAAATATGACTAAGGAACAGATCCATGTGTATTCAGAGCTTCCAGACCCCATCGAAAATGACAAGAGTAGATGGGATTTCTTTTCTTCTTTTAATCTTCCCAGGTGGAAGATATTTATGGATCTGCATCATAAACAATGTTGTCAAGCAATATTTCTCAGATTTCAAGCCATCGCAGGTAGGAAATTAATTCTTAATATTCACAAATAAATCTATCCACAGAGAAGAAGATTTTTTAATCCATTGCCTAGACACACCACATTTATTTATTTTTCACAACAAACACAAGAAGTGGTTGCTTTTGTTTTCCTTATGAAGGAGAGAAACTTTGAACAAGGAGTAAAGTTATTTCCTTAGGATTGTAACTCCAGCATCAAACTTGTATTTGCTGTTTCTAGGGCCTGGAATCTACACCACAAAATCCAAACCTTCTGTCACTCTATGGTAGAAAAAGGGACTGCAACAGAAACTAAGTAACATGCATAGAAGAGTTTAATGCTGCTTTCAAGTTTTATAAAAATAGATCCAATTCTGCTATTTTGTATAGGTCAGATTATTATTATTATTATTTTAATGACTTAACTTTATATAATAAAAAACCCATAAATAGTTTTCTTTGATGACTGACCATCCCCACCCCTACCTAAACACATAAAGATTTGCTTAGCATATGCAAATGTGTATAAACAATGTGTGTATTATTGGGATTTGTTCAATTTCATATTTATTTTATTCTTTCATATGTTACTGATTTGGTTTAATGTGCAGAAAACAAATCTAGTAACAAATCTAGACAGCAAATAGTTGTGACATTGTCTATAAGTAGTTCAAACAGCTTTCTTAAATGAGGGAATTTGGTAGAATATCTACAGCTTAGTGGGCAATGCTAAGACACCCCATTCAGAACTGAGATGTCTTCACCTAGTCTCTGGTTTTCAAATATTTCTTGTATTACATTGTTTTCTGTTTTATCCTTTGCCTGGGGGTGAAATCACACATGCTTGACCAATATTGTGGCCCAGGGAGTAACAAGATGGCCTTGAATAAAGGTTTTCTAACACATTTTGCTTACTACTTAATATCCACTAAACAAATTGACTTCAAATCCTCAAGAGGTTCATGAGAGATGAGAAGAATATTTAGCCCTCTTGATGTGTATGTAACTGAATAAATACCAATAATGCTCTGTACATCTTGATTTGCAGTGGGCTTGAAATCTGAGGAAATTAAGGCTGCAAGAGTCCATAAAATTTATTCTTAGGCTACATATAAACTTTTATGGTTTGTATAGAAGTATCATTTGATAATATGGATCTTTGAATACCTGTTGTTTCAGAGTTCTGCACTTATAATGAACTGATTAAAGCAGGGAATATCAAACTGGTGGTGAAATAAATATTCCCAGGAAGTCCAAAATTACTCACGTCAGGGTTATGATTCAGACATGATTGATTAGACTCTTCACATGTTTTTAGGAAATCTTCAGTTTTTAAATAACCAATGTTATTTAAAAGATTTTCATACAATATATTTTAATCATGGTTTTCCCATCCTCAACCTCTTCCAGATCCTTACTACTTCCCTACCCATCCAACTTCATACTCTTTTTCTCTGTCTTTCTCCACAAAAACTCCCAAATAAAACAAAGCCAAAATCAAAATAGACAAACAAAAACCAGTAAAAGACAAAATTTTAAAAAATCAAAACAAAAAAGAAAGCATCTTCAACAATGGTGCTGGCATAACTGGGTACTGGTATGCAGAAGACTGCAGATAGATCCATGTTTATCGCCTTGTACAAAACTTAAGTCCAAATGGATCAAAGATCTCAACATACATCCAGCCACACTGAAACTTTTAGAAGAGAAAGTGGGAGATACTCTTCAACGAGTTGGTACAGGACACCACTTCCTAAACATAACACCAGTGGCACAGGCACTAAGATCGACAATTAACAAATGGGACCTTCTGAAACTAAAAAGCTTCTGTAAGGCAAAGGACACAGTCAAAAAGACAAAAAGGCAGGCCACAGAATGTGAAAAGATATTCACTAACCCTACATCTGACAGAGGGCTAATCTCCAAAATTTATAAAGAACTCAAGAAACAAGTCTCCAAAACACCAAAGGATTCACTAGAAAGGTGGGGTACAGAGCTAAATAGAGAATTCTCAGTAGAGGAGGCTAAAATGGCCAAGAGACACTTAAGAAAGTGCTCAACATCCTTAGCCATCAGGGAAATGCAAATCAAAACAACTCTGAGATACCATCTTACTCCTATCAGAATGGCTAGAATCAATAACACCGAAGACAATTTATGCTGGAGAGGATGCGAGGAGAGAGGAACACTCCTCCACTGCTGGTGGGAATGCCGACTCATACAGCCTCTTTGGAAATCAGTATGGAGATTCCTCAGGAAAATGGGAATTAATCTACCACTAGACCCAGCAATTCCACTCTTAGGCATTTATCCAAATGAGGCAGGTTCATACAACAAGGGCATCTGCTCCACTATGTTCATAGCAGCATTGTTTGTAATATCCAGAACCTGGAAGCAACCTAGATGCCCCTCAACTGAAGAGTGGATAGAGAAAATGTGGTACATTTACACAATGGAGTATTACTCAGCAGAAAAAAACAATGGAATCTTGAAATTCGCAGGGAAATGGATAGCACTGGAAGAAACCATCCTGAGTGAGGTAACCCAGTCGCAAAAAGACAAACATGGTATGTACTCACTCATATATGGATTTTAGATATGGATCAGGATAGTGCCAGTCTGCACTTCCACAGATAGAGAGTCTGGGAAACAGGAAAGAACCTAAAAGATATGCATATATGCATAGTACCCAAGAGAAGAGGATGGAGACAAGATCCTCTGAATGGATGGGGAACATGGCGAGGGGTGGGGGGGAGTGGGACCTGGGAAGAATAGAGGGGGTAAAGAGGAAGGGAGTTGGTCATGGGGGAACAGGAAGTTGAGGGGGTGGGGGTAGAATAGGGGGAAGAGGGAATCATAGGATCGAAGACAGATCAGGCACCAGAGTGACCTCGAGTGATCTAAAGGTATAGCACCAATTGGCCAGCTAAGCAATAGTGGAGGGACCACCTCGAATGCCCATTCCTGATAATGAACTTGATGTCTATAACCATCCGGGAGCCTTCATCCTGTGACTGATGGAAGCAGAGGCAAACACACAATTAATCACTGAACTGAACCCAAGGAACCCAGTGACAGAGAGAGAGGAGTGATGAGCAAATTGGCAAAGAATGGGCTGGCAAAACCAGCAGGGACAGCTGATCTGAACAGGGGAGTGCTCTTGGACCCCAGACCGACAGTGGGGAGGCCAGCATGGGACTGATCTGGACCCCCCCAAATGTGAGTGTCAGTGAGAAGGCCTGGGCAACCTATGGGGCCCTGAGCTGTGGATCAGCGTCTATCCCTGGTATACAAACTGTCTTCATGTGCCTATAGCACAAAGAGAGATGCTCTCTCAGCCTGGACTCTTAGGGGAGTGCCTGGACCCTACCAAGAGTAAAATGACAGACTCTAGATATCCCCTATGTGGAAGGATTTGGCAATAGGGTGGGAGGGAGGGGGGGAAGGGGAGTGCGGGAGGATGGGAGGGAGAGGGAACTGGGATTGACATGTAAAACAAGCTATTTAAAATTAAAATAAAAAAAATGCAAAAAAAAAAAAAACCTCAAAATGAAAAAGCCTGGTACTAGGGAATCTCCATTTGAATCCTTCCACCTAAAGCAACTCTTGCGTATCTAATTCAAACTGAGTTTGGTGACGGATGTACATAATCAATAATTATTAATTTTCATATTTATTGGGAAATTCCCAAACAGTGTGTTTACTAATTGGCATTCATCTTCCCTATAAGGCCATTTTGTGATTGCTAGTCAAATCTTTTTCTTTGGGATCTGTCATGTGTCAATCTGGAACATCCCTAGGATGGTGGCACCTTCCCAGCATGGTTTTCCTGAAGGCATCTTTCATCTCCTTGTTTCTTAAGCAGTAGATGCCTGGGTTGAGGAATGGCACAATGACAGTGTAGAGCACAGAGACGATCTTGTTGTAGTTGAAGGTGTACATGGCTCGGGGGCGTGCATAGGTGAAGAGAGTGGAGGAGTAGTAGATGACAACCACTGCCAGATGGGAGGTGCAGGTGGAGAAGGCTTTGTGGCGTCCCTGGGCAGTAGGGATCTTCAGGATGGCTACAATGATGGCAGCATATGAGGAGACCACAGCCAACAGAGGGAGCAGGATCATCACCAGTGCTAACAGGAAGTCTACCAGCTCTGCTTGTTCCTTGTCTGAGCAGGTGAGGTTGAGCAATGGGGAAATATCACAGAAAAAGTGATTGATGAAATTGGGCCCACAGTAGGATAGTCGTGAAATGAAAAGTAACTTCATCATGGAACTGAAGAAACCACTGCCCCAAGAAGCAGCTGCAAGGCGAGTGGCCAGACTGGCAGGCATGAGACTAGGGTAACGAAGGGGCTCACAGATGGCCAGGTAGCGGTCATAGGCCATAACTGCCAACAGGACACATTCAGTGCAGGCTAAAGCAATAAAGAAGTAGAGCTGGGTCATGCAACCCACATAAGAGACTCTGCCATCCTGGGTAAGAAAGGCTCCCAGGAGTCTGGGAATAGTAACATTGATGTACCATAGTTCCAGGAAGGAGAGATGACCAAGGAAGAAGTACATAGGCCGGTGAAGGCTTGAGGTGAGCCATACTGTAGAAACAATGAGTATGTTTTCCATCAATGTCAACAGATAAATTACAAAAAAGAAGACAAAGAGGAGCGGCTGGAAGGGTGGAGAGGTAGGAAATCCCACCAAGACAAACTCCTCCACATTTCTTCCACTCAAATTTCTCATAGTGTCTGTGCACTTTGATGTCTGCAAAGTAACAAGAATAAGAACGACTAAAACACAGGTGCATCAAAGCCAGAATATCCTTGAACAGATTACGAACCTGTCAATGTTCAGTGATTCGCTATACTACCAATTCTTATTATATATTTCCCCCTTCACTTTATTGTTGAACTTCAAGGGAGAAGTTCTCAGTCTTGAAGATGATAGTTGGTAACTAATGACTGCAACTACATCAGTTATTCAGTGAATGCCAGCTGAGAGACTTAAGAATGGGATTTAGTATTTTGAGTCTTGGTTTTCAACAGTGTTTAAAATCTATGTTGTGCTCTTCTCTCTCATTCCTCAGGAACAACTACAAACTCCGAAGCCCCAGAGCACCTTTTCTCAATGTTTAATGAATAAAATAATAAAAGGATACCAGATGGACCCTCGGGGCTTGTCACTGAAGAGAAATTGATTAGGAGGTACTGGGAACTCAGTGACTGCTGGAGCTGCAGTTCAACACAGCACAACAGGAAGAAGTAGTTTGAAATGTGCTCACTGCAAATGGAGAAACAACCCAGTACACAGACCAGGAAGCTGCCTGAAAAGAGCTTCATTTTTAAAAAGTCTGTTTGAGGTCATTCCTTGTGCCAGAGTTATAGTTTTTCATTTCTAGAACTAGTGTGACTGACTGCCCATGCCTGACAGAGTGGTAATGTCTTCCTCCCGACTACTCAGGAGGATAAGACAGGAAGATCAAAGTGAAGCATTCATGACTAGCTTAGACAACATAGATTTTGCCTATGCATGTTATATCCACATAGCCACATGAGTACACACACACACACACACACACACACACACACACACACACACACACACACACACACACAGCTTGAGCTGACCATTTACTGTGCTTCTCTGGTCTCCTATCAACACTGCCAGAGACCTGCTGTCACCAAATGCTGTTGGGAAAGTTGGAAATATGCATTAAGTTAGCATCATATGCTCCACATAAATGTTTCCATTATCAGTGGGATTTATGCATGTCACATTTTTTTCCTCAAATAAACGTGAAAATGTGATGTACCAGGAGGCTAACCGTTTTAATTAGACACTTAAGTACTCAAAGGACCTAAATCCTACTGCATTGGGAATACTAATTTAAATGAAACCACTACACCACCTCTTCATCTATTCAAAGCATCTAAATATCAATGCTATGTTATCCATTAGTACCTGTTTTAAATTATGTAAATGAATATAAATAGTAATATTAACACGTAGCATATCTCAGGAATAACAATCCAGGGTAATATATTTTTATAATTGCAATTCTTTTATGGATTCCTCTATGTACTTTTTTGTTTGTTTCTGAACTCTTAGAATTATAGTACTTTATAAGAAAATTTCCTCTAGGTATTATATAATTAGTATACATTTAAGCCCAAACAGTATAAATATCTTTCAAAGTCTGGAAAATTGTATTAGACACAATTTAAAAATTTTATTGAAAAATCATCATATATGAATGTAGTTTGCATATTTTGATTCTTATATGCAACCATGACTATATATTATCCCAAATGAGAATGATTCACCAACAATCCCATTCTTGCATCTCACTGTAGAACTCTAACCTCTGAGAAAAAGCAGCTCCCCCAAGTGATACCGATGGCTCTGAGGGTGATAGTGGCTTTGCTATGGCAGCATCTCTAAATTGTTTCATCTTTTTATTAGCTATATGCAGAAATTACACCCAAATCTATCATCAAAATGATTTGTATTGATCTATTAGCCGACAACTCAATCAGCTCAGAGAAGTGTTTGCTACCTCCTCATCTGTCCTTCATTGCTTCAGTGCTGATTGGCCCTGACACTAATTTACACTCTGGGGCACTTGCAGGCCACAATACTCGCTTATGCCTTTCCTAATCAAGAAGAAGAAATTGATTTTGAACAGGAAAGTTGGAAAGAGAAACAGCTCTTTCTCAAGCAGATTGATTTTAGGGAGGTGGTGCTCGTGAGGAAGCAGGATGACGAGGAGGAACAATTCCTTCAGTACTATTTTTACCTTGGTCTTGGGAAAAAAATTTGTCCCCCCAAGTGTCCATTAAGCTCAGTTTGGAAATCAGTGAAATAATGGACTAGATGCTTTTCTGAGAGTTAGGGGAGGCTTACAGGTTCTGAAGAAGACTGAGTGATGAGAGGTTTGCCAAGAAATGTGTTTTAGTTGCCCTGTTCCCAGTGTAACATTGTACATTGTTCCCTGTATACAATCAGACACTGTATGCAGTGGTGTCTAAGATGCCATAAGGTCCCATCAAACATCAGTGGGATAGATTTCAGTCCTGTGTGTGTGTGTGTGTGTGTGTGTGTGTGTGTGTGTGTCTTGAATACTGCCCCAGTACATATACTTGTTAAATATAATTTTCCCACAGAGTGAGACAATTTATTATTTTATAATCGCTTTGTGATTCTGTAGGTATATGGACCTGGAAATAAAAAAATGTCGCTTGATCCAAATTGTCTCTTTACATCAGAAAACCTGCCTAAATTCCTATCCAGCCCCCAACCTCTTGCATGCTACATATATAAAAATTTAACAGCCTCTTTTTTGGCCTCAGAGGATGTCACTGCATGGGAAGTAATAGAGACTTCATCTGCAGATACAATACCTGGCCCCTTCACGTAGAAACACTATTTTCAGGGAAATCTAAGATTATTTGATCTTCAATTTTTCTTCAATTCTTCTTTTGATAAACACAAAGTGAACATCAACAATCTAGCAAATGATTTAGTGAGTCTATCACTGAGGACCACTAAAGTCACTGGCACTTAAGGAAGACACACCAGTGGAACTTAGTAGCCTGTGGCAGTCTCTGAACACATGTTGAGTGCTGGCAATGCTCACAACAGCACAGTTAGCTGAAGTGCCTTTATCTCCATTTGCAGCTAATACAGAAAGATGGATATTTTCTTTTAAAGATTGTATGTATGGGACACTGTGGGTTGTTGGGGCCCATAAAGATGGGTATGCTTCATCTTACCTCAAGGTCAGAGAGTTCAAAACTGTCCTTTGTAAGTCTAAAGACCTAAAGGTCTAAGGCCTTGCTACTACAGGATGTTTTGGCCTTGGTAATAGATGTCTTGACCCTGAAGGCTGGATAACAGGTGTAGCTACCAAATACCAGAAGGATTAAAGGAAGTAAGTCTTTTTGCTTCTTAAACATGGTAATTGAAGTCTTTCCATGCCCCCTTTTTGATTGGGTACTTAAGAATGCTAAAGAATAAACTAGAGGCATTTAGTAGTCACTGGATTGCCCTCCTGACTCTATCCTGTGTCTCTGTCTTTCTCTTAATGTCTTTACCTACCCTTTCTCAATCCACACTCTCCCTCTCAGGTACTAACCAGGCAAGTTGGCTGGCTCCTATTGTAATGCCACAAAGACAGCTTTTACAGTGGGTCTGATATAAACACAAGTAATCCCGCTGTGGAAGAAAACTTCCCTTTTATCTTGTAGATCTTCCCGGGAAATGAGACAAAAAAGTCAAGATTTGACAACTGATGAATGGCAGAGTTTATTAATATTTATTTAAAAATCACATTCAATTTCTTCTGTTTATGTATAGACAGAGGAAGTATGGCTTTAGGTCCAGGACTACTTTCCCTTAATCATAGAAAGGTCAGTTCCTACCTCTTCAGGAAAATGGAAGAAATTAGCTGGCATAGAAAGACAAACACTGAACATGCTCCTTTGTACATAGAAGCCAAAAAAGCTGACCTCAGAGTAGAAAAGAATGAAATAGTATTTGCTATAGATGAGACAGCATAGGAGAAAAGTGGATGGAGAGAGTTTGAATGAGTACCTAACACGGTTTGATAGAAGCACTGCAATCTAATGTTCTACAAAACAGTGGGCTGACTGTTGTTTACAACAATCTATTGCTTATTTAATGAAAAACTACAGAAAGGAGTTCAAAGTCTCCAAACACAAAGAAATGATAAGGAAATGCTAACTATCCCTCTTTAATCAGCCATTACACATTGTATACATGTGTTAAATATCACCACATATTTCATAATATATCATCATTAAATTGTTATAAATAAGAGAAATGAAAGCATTTCTGTACCTGGGAATATACTTACACCAGCGAACGTTTTAAAAGCATGTATTGTTTACCATTTCCACAGTCGTAAAAGCATGGGTCTAAGGAATCACAGCAGGGCACTCACTGCAAGATGCTGCATGTCTAAGATTTACCAGGATTTAAGCAGCCTGGACACACAGGGGAAGTCAAGAGCTTTGCAACCTTAGAATGATTTGAGGACTGCAAGAAATGATGAAGGGCCTGGATAACGACACGTTTTCTTTGAGATGCTCACCTGGTCCTTCAGCGTTCCGTTTCACAGTCACTTTCTCCCCATCCTTTGGTATTTGCTATATCTGTGTGCCTGTTGCTTCTGGGCAGGCATGGGCTATCACAGGTCCCCTTCAGTAGATCTGATGCTTCCTGATGGAATGAGAGTTATTTGTGGCAGGACATGGCAAAGCTGGGCTAGTTCGGGCCCCAAAGCCAACAGAGGTGATAACAGCCAGCTCTTATCAGCTGACCTGTCCCTCACCAGGGACATGTCCCATGTCCCCTTAAGACACATTGTCATGGTGACCCATATTTTTCCAACAAGACTGTCCAAGTCTCACACCTCAGGGAGAATTCTTTTTCTAGGGAACATGCGATAATGTAAGACCTAAAAGAACACAGAACTGCAGTGAAGTCAGGTGAAACCTTCAATTGTATTGATTATCAAATTCTGATTTCAGAGGGGCCGGAGAAGCAAATAGAGATGAAAACTAAAGACTACAATTTCATCGAGGAGAGGAAATAAAGAAGTTAGAGAGCTGTGGGTGAATGATATCACAGACTCTATTTGGGTTTTAAAGAGATTATCATTTGTCAAAGTAGCCTATCTTTGTACCTGACCATTTTTTCTGCCTATTGGTTGGAGATACAATCTTATTTTTCCCTTCCACGGTTACAAGCTTCATGAGGGAAATGTATTTTCTGTATTTGCATTTTCCTCCAGACATGTTTCTAGATAAAACTGGGCTAAGAGGATATATAGTATGGGCCTCAGAATACCTGGGCTGA